TGTAGTGCAGGGTATCATGATTTCCAAGCTGAATTTGCAGAATGATGTAGCTGTCTCTTCAGTATTGACTGCAAAATCTGCACCTCTTCTGTGGTTAATGTGAAGTTTATAATGACCTTTACTCCCTGAAGCCAAGCTGCGTAAGTTAAGTGACTTCAGGTCAACATTTGGGTGAGCTTAATATGCAAGAGTAGGCTTTTAAAATGTCACTGTTTATTAAACAGGGTGTTATATTTAGGGCATTAATCAGTACACCCACTGCACCACTGTCTAATACCAGAGCCACAGCATGCAGGGTCTAGCCATACACACACAGTAACATGACTCCACTGTGTCTGGGATGATGAGGGGGGATGAAAAACTTACTTTCGTCTCCTCTCTCGGCGTCCTCGCTGAGCAGACCGCTGTTCGCTTCGTCCCAGGTTAAGATGAGAGGCACATCGTCGTCTGACTCCATGTTAGCAGATAACAAAGGCTACCGTTTAAAAAAATCTACAGATAACGTAAGCTTTCCAAAACTCAGCTAAATAAGCGCATGGTTCGTTCTGCAAAGCGCAAGACGACTGCACATCTCAGGTGGCACAAACCCGAATGCTTTTATTTTGAGGATTTGAGGAGAATGCAACACTGGAACTAGGTTGTTGTTGTTGTTGTTTTTTTAACTTGTGTGAGGCGAGCGAGGCCTTTTGCTTGCAGGTTTGGTCTTTGTCCTGTCACAGATGGCATCTGTCACCGAATCAACTGGTTCACTGTCAGTCAGGCTAACAGGCTGAGACAGTCCGTCGGTGTCCATCACGGCATCGTCGCCGCGCACGAAGCTTCCCTGTTGTGTCTGCGATCTGTTTGCGGTAAACCGGACAACAACAAAGTGCAACAATTGTTTTATCTAGATGGATTTTTCCGCAAGCAGCGCCAGCCGACACTTTCTATTTGACGCTGCGGGGTTACGGGCGAGATCAACAAACATTTGCGACACTGAAACAATTCACGGCAGGCTGACCCAGGCCAGATTTTCAAAATAAAAGTCAAGGGCTCTAAAACAATGCTGAAATGCTGAGACCAAAAAAATAAAAAATAAAAAAAACACGTAACCGCACTCGTATATTTATGAATCGATTAATTTATATAATTATACAGACTACACTGCTGATATAACTATATATGTTGTGCATCACGCGCTATCCGCAGTGTGCGTCAGTGCTTTGATACTGCCACACGCATCAGTGGTATCCTAGCAACAGGACAAAATCAACAAAAAAAGTCAACAATATTTTCAACATAGGAGTCGACAGGTAACTATAAGTAGCTTAATTATATTAGTGTGTGGCTTCATCGAAACCAATGCAAACTAACATTAGAGCTGTGATGCTCCTTAATAAAACAAACAAAAATAATAAGCGTATTTTTCACCAATTTTCTGTTAAAGAACTTGAATTTTCAGACTGATGGTGTCAAATTAAAGATGTTAATACTGTAATGGATGATAAATGTAATGTGCAAGATGTAAAATGTAGTAAGTTCTAGTATAGAGACCGAGGTTGGTTGGCACACTGTCTGTCAGTCATATTTCTCTGGTATCATTTATGTTAGAATATTATAACCAGGAGCAAATTAAAGGCTATGAATAAATATGTTTTAATGTACACAACTGGTTTATAAAATTAGGTGATTACAAAAAATAAAGCAGAAAACACGAACATTTAATAAAGTAGTTTTTTTAAACCAAACATTTTTGAGCAATTCAGTAGGAATGTCAAATTATTTTTGCCATTGACCATTCAACATAATAATAACTGTTTTTAATCTTAAAATAGTTTTTAATACTGCAAGAAAAATATATATTAACAGTTACTAGTTCATGAAGAAGAAAACTGTTGTGAAAACATAGTGCCAACCAACTCAGCTTCCATCCCAGTTTCACAATTCGTTTTGTCCGCTGACCAATTTTTACTTTCAGTTCTGTAAAACTTTTTTTTTACCCTCAACAAAAAAGTTAGTGAGTGCAGGTCAAGAAAGCAAACATTTTTAAGTTACATTTTTGTTTCTGTGACTTTTAAAGAACCAGAAAATAGCTCTGTGCCAACCAACCCCAGTCTGGATCACTACTTTGTTTTCTATACAGCTAGTAGTTTAGTTCCATATAAATGCTTTTATCTAGGCCAGTGCCTGGAAGCAACATGGCCTGAAGAGGTCAAATGAGGGTGTTATAGTAGTAGTAGTAGTGGTTTGTGCACAGGATTCTGCAAAAGTATATTCAGATTTGCAAGCGTACTGAGATTAAATCATTATTTTTTGGTATATTTGCTTTTTTCCTTCCATCCAGTGACAGTATGTCTGCAAAGGGGGCAACAGTGCTGTCAGAGACAAATGCAAAGACCCACTCGGAGAACCATGGACTGCTACAGAAGAAGCAGCTCTCTTTAGAGGGTCAACGCATCTTAAGCATACTGGAAACCTGCATCAGTCGAGTTGAGATTGCAGCAGCTCTGCCTGCGGCTTTCCGGTCAAACAGCGAGTCTTGTGTCGCGGACAAGGAGTTGAGCAGGGCACTTCAAGAGCATCAAATATTAGTGGAAAGGCTGGAGACGTTAGAAGGTCTCAAGCAGGAGTCAGATGGAGAACAAGAGGTAGAAGCAAGGAAGAGAGGAAGGGCTCAGCTTGAGAAGGACATCAAGAACTCTGTCAGGGATCTGCTCAGGCTCGTCCGAGGCCATCCTGATGCCATTTTTGGTTTGAGGGCAGAGCTAGGTATGGAAGAGGGAGAGAGTGAGTCCGTACTTATTAGAGTGCTTCAGCAGTTTCACAGTGATATGAAAGAAAAGTTGCTGACCAGTCTGGAGGAGGAGCTACGGCTGGCTAAGATCTCCAAGCAGGTGATCTCAGACCCTGCCTACCATCTGGAGCAAATAGCTTTACAGGAAAAACAACTTGCTCAATCCATAGAGAAAGTAGATACAGAGGTGAGGCACCAGAAGTTAGATGAAAAAGAAACCTTCACATACAAAAATCTAGTCTATCACATGTATAATTTGCTGTTTCACCTCTCATTTCTCCCCGTTTGTGTAACAGATGTATGTGCTAAATCATGCCATAGAACAAATGCAGAGTTCTCTGCAAGGGAAAAACCTACAAGATGCAGATAAGTCACTGCTTGCAGAAAAGCAGTGCCAGTCACATATCAAGACATCAAAGGTGAAGCAGGCCAGTATACAGCACGAAATTGACCAACTGAACATTCAGCTCAACAGTTTGATGCTGGAAAACAGACGGACAGAGAGAGTGCTCCAAGAGGTAATTTTAGTACATTTCACAGTAGATGTTTCACATTTTAGTGGTTGTAGCATATTTAGTTTTCATTAAAACTCATGTAAACTGTTGCTGTTTTGTTTCCTTTGGCAGAAAATGGAGACGGTGGAGATAGAAATTGAATGCGTGCTCCAACATTTTGATGATGAAATAAAAGAAAAACAGGTACAAAACCACAAAGTGTTTTTGTAAAAGATAATTAAGTGTGTATATTTTGGATACAAATATGCTTAGTGAAACTATATTCAGGCTGTTTAACATGATAGTTAAAGTTCTTAGAGATCTCAGATTTAGTAGTAACTAAATAATCTCAGTCTTCATTCACTCAGATGCTTTTTTTGTTGGCAACACTTCATTAATTAAACTTATTTCATCGTCCTCTCTCTTATCCATCACCATCTCTCTCTCTCTCTCTCCATCCTTTCACCCCTCAACACCATAACTGCCACCATCATCTCAGGACAAACTGGAGTTGAATGAAGTGCACTATGAAAGGGAGGAGGAGGAGGTGAGGAAGCTGGAGAAACCCTTTTCTATCCTCGAGATGGAGTGCAACCAGATCCTGGAGAAGCGTCGGCTGGCGGAAGAGAAGAGAAAGGAGGAGATGAGGGACCTGGAGCTGAAGACCAAAGCTGCTATCATGGCCCAAGCCTGGTGGAGAGGCTTCAGTACTCGCAAGGCCTTAAAGAACAAGGACAAAGGCAAGAAGGGCAAAAAAGGCAAAGGCAAGAAGACCAAATAAACCGTTCAGTCTTATTACTCTGGTATTTCACAGACACTTTACCTGTAGAGCATAAATGTATTTGGGTGTTTCATAAAAAAATAATTTGTTCAGCAAATATAAATGCCTTGTTTGTTTTTGTTTTTAGTATTTTATGTTTTTGTTGTTTGTATTCACTATCTTTGTGAACTACAAAATGGAAAGGATTGCAGTACTTTCTAACTTTTTGTGAGCATCATTTAGTATCTGTATATCGTATACCTGCAGACAATGTCATACTAATCATAAAAGATTAAACAGCAGCAGATAAGAAAACATTTTTATTATTAAAAAATGCACATCATCAAAAATGTCTGGCAGCTTAGACTTCTTCTCAATACTGCATTGAGTGTACAGATCAAATTGATTGACATCTCTGTGACTCTGAGCTTTGGTGCATTTGTTTATAATTTGTGTTAGTACAGGGAGTTTAATGGGTTCAGGAAACTTCCAGCATAGCTTTACTCAACTTTAAACTTAAAAACAGGCCATACAAAATAAGTTAAAACAGAGACTGATTCGTTGGGTACACCAGTTGCTGTTTTCTTTCAGTGGCCACAGGGTGGCAGTACAGGACCTTGTGTTCTGAATGATCAATTATTGACATTATATTACATTCATTTGTCAGTCCTGTGGGCAGGAGGAGCTGGGGATTGAACCACCAACCCTATAAATGATCTCATATTGCTACTAGATATACATTATGAATCAAAACAAATCAACTTAACTAATTACCACTATCATAACCATTTCAGAACGTATTATCAAGCCCTGATAATTACAGTGAGGAGCTAAATGAATGTCATACTGACCACTTACTAATCCATTTAAAGTTTATTAATATATTTTTATCTATAGATATGTTCCACAATTAAAATAAGTCATTTTCAATTAATATTTATTTGCTGCAGTGTTTGACATGGCATATATTTTGAGATCAAATCAAGAAACATTGGTAGGTTATTACTCTCTAGAAATCCTTTCTCTACTTTGAATACAGTGCATTTTTCATTACAGAACATTGAATAGTCAATAGTCAAATAGGTATTTTTTCCCAAAATTAAAATAAAAACAACTCAAACCATAATCATATTATTCTGGAACAGGACTGTTGCTGCTAATTTTACATCCTAGGCTGCTCCTTCTTCAGAGTAAACATACAGTAATTCCAAAGTAGATCCAATTAGGAATCCTTGTCAAGATGATTAATCAGTTATTGATTGTTGAGTTTTACATTAAAACAAGTTCAGTGAATTCAGTTTTAAAGCAGCATGGAAATTTAATATTTTTTGCAGTGGGTCGCGATGCTCTTTTCGGCCTTGTTTCTTTTCTGTTGTTTTCTCTTCTGTCCATCGTTGTGTCTGTGCGAGGGGGTTTGATGCTGTTTCAGTATGTCATCGTGGTCCTGGATGAACATCTTGACCTAAGAAGGAGACAGTAGGAAACAGATTGTTTTCTGTTGCCCTGGCTGTGTGTCTCTGTCTCTGCTCTGTCAGGGTACACACCTTGTCCAGCTGTTTGTCTGTGTCGTTCACATCCACACCTTCCTCTCCTTCTACCTCGTCTTCTGTCATTCCGTAGAGGTTGAGCGTCGCCATCTTAATCTGACCCAGGAGGAGTGTTTTCTTTGCCGCTGTTTCCTGAATGTGGTTCCACTTCCTTTCCTGTATGTGCAATACACTGGATTATTCCCTCATTCTGCAATACCACAATCTTTAAAAAGTCATTACTCATTTAATTTTATCAATCACATACTGTGGCATACATTACTTTTTATATATTAGCATATACGTATATTGTATATATTTTGTAATTACTATAAGGTAGATAGGGTTTTTTCCTTATATGTATATACCTATATACACATTTATATTTTATATATATTGTGTTAGATTGTAATATAAGTATCATTTCTATTCTTTAACAACTGTAACAAACAACTTTCTCCCCAGAGATCAATAAAGTATTTCTGATTCTGATGTATATAGAATAGAAGAATCAGGGCCTTTCAGCTATCATATTCTCAGTAATTTTACATACATTTAATTGAAATTTGTCCTCTGTATTTGACGCATCCTATACCATAGGAGCAGTGGGTAGCCGTGGGCGCACCAACCCTGCGGTAAATGGACGACTCACTCTACCTACTGAGCCACAGCTGGTAGTTCAATCTCTAAACAACATTTTATCTGTTCATAGCTCTGACGTCGGACTCTGACATGTGGATTATGTCTGGTACCCATGTTAGAGCTTCAGAGCGTGTCCTCTCTAGCTCGGTCTGAAGTTGGGACAGCTGGTTGTTCTTGTGCAGCCGCATTAAGTGATACTGGTCCTCCAGGGTCAGAATTGCTTTTCTCTGCTGGTCGACCTGCTCCTGCGCCTCACTCTCCCTCTGACAGAGCTGGGCTTTAAAGTGGAGAAGACTCTCTAAATGACCCATGAGCAGCCGCACATCGTTGAACTGTAACACACACACACACATTAAAAGGTGTAGCCCCAAAATTGAACTCAATACTCAAAACATGTCGTAGTGGTTTTTGGGGCAGAGGTCGCCTGAAACAAAGACCATCTTGCTAACATCATACAAATTGCACTTTAATGAAATAAAACATTAACCTGTAGGGAGAAAGAGCCAGAGGTGCAATTTTACACAGCAATACCATATATTTAATGAGCATGGCTACTGTTTAGGCCAGTTAATTTTTTTTAATATATCTTTTTTTTTTTTTTATTGCCTTTAATTGATAGTTATGGCTGAAGAGTGACAGGAAAGCGGGGAGAGAGAGAGGGGATGACACGCAGGAAAGGGCCACAGTCAAACCCATAGCTGCTGCAGCAAGGACTCTTTATGGTACATGGTTCACCAGCTACCTGGTCAGTGCCCCAGGTATCTTCCTTTTAATAAAGTACAACTAAAAGTAAAAAC